GCAAGGCGTTCTTCCGCCAAGGCACGGCCAGGCGTGAACATGGGGCCAGAGTGTGCTCGTTCGCGGTGATTCCACTCTGTCCCAATCCTGACATTCAAATCTACTCTGCACATGTGGGATAGCTGCAGAGGACGTGTTGACAGCAATGGACATGCCGTACATCCATGACAAGGAATGTTGGCAGCCTCTTGATGGGTCTGCAAAAAATCATCAATCTTCAGCACCTCACTCAGTTCAGGATGTCTGAGGCTCACGCGGCGGCAAAGCGCTTCGTGGGAGATGATCAGCTTGCCGCAGACACTGCAATGAGAGCGAAGCCGAGTGAGGACGGCCTCCGGTAGCGCTCCATGTGCATGGCGTGTTGCTGATGCAGGGTTGCAATGGTCCTGGGGAAGGTGTCAGTGCCCAGGGGCCCAAATCTGCCAAGTCCTAAGTCGACTGCATCTTCCCTGGCCAGCCACACAAAGACCCAGCTGTCAGTCAGGGGTGGCTGACTACCAACAACCTGAGCTTCTACAAGGTCGTTGAACACTAGCCAGCCTTGAGGTGTCCAGCCTCATCCTGACCTTTGTGCGAAACTGCTGCAACCACGACATAGGGATGCTGAACAAAGGTCAGCTTCCTGTCACCTTGGATGGGCAGCCAAATGCGAGCATTCACTTCAAGGTTCCAGCTGCACTTTTGAAGGTGGCCTTGGTCATCATGGGCAAAGCGGTCAAGGTGCAGGCATGCAAGACGACCGCTAGCAATGAACGTGGTTTGCATTCCTAGGTAGTGCGTCCATCCATCAACCAATGTTTGAAGGTCAGTCTCCACTGTGTTTGCCGGTGCACTCAGAGTCGGAGGATTGTGTGGTGCCCCACGATCAGTGATTCTGATCTCTTCCCCTTCCTGCACAATCCTTTGCCATGAGCTGTTCACACATAGAGGCTTGATCCATTCTAGGAACTTGCCAAGAAATTCGTGGAGGTCCTGTTGACCTTCACCCCAAGGTCTGAGGAACTCCCCAAACCCAGGGAGATCTTTCAAACTAATCCACATGCTGTCCATGCCAAAAGGCTCAGCAAACTTTTCCGATCCTTCCCCCAGCTCGTTCCACATGGGGTCCTTGAGTTGGAGCATGGCCTGGAACGCAGCATTTTGATAGCAGTCATTCTGGGCATTGCTCAATCTGACGGCCATGAGCCACCCAATGATCACCTCCTTCTTGATGGGCCAGATGATCCCCCTCGCCAAACTGGCGGCGATGGGAGGCCTTCAAGGACTTGAGTCTGACTACCGCTGCCGGATCTCTGATCAATTCGGTCAGCTCTTCCAGGAGGCTCTGCATGCTGGTCATCGAAATGGGCGTCTTCTGCGTGACTTGTACCTGCTTGGTCTGCTGGTTCCAAGTCATGGTCACGAGCTTGAGGCGCAGGGACTGAGTGGCTGTCTTCTGTTCTACTTCCTGCTTCCAAGCCATTGTCGTCTGCTGGATGTGGAAGTCTCTGGCTGAAGGAACAGTATGTACGTGTCTTGAACTGCCAGGGCCCGCAGTTGACTCTCGTGCCTCAAGTTTTGATATTTGCTCTCCAAGGGCAGGGCTTGCTCCATGATGACGCCGTGATCTTGTGCAAGATGTTGCGCAACTCCTCCAGGACGACGTGACTGCCTTCCGCACAGAACACAGCAGGATCTGAGAGCTGCTTGGTATACCGTGTTGCTCACAATGGCCTCCAGGTCACGCTCACTTGACAGCTTCCGCAGGTTAGGCCAGGCATGGGACGTGGCTGCCCGGCGGTCTGCTGGGATTGAAGCTCTTGCGTCCATGTTCGATGTGGTTTCTCAAACTGAAGAAGGATGCCAATGTCTTCATACAGTGTGAGCAGGTAGGAGTACCGTCAGCAGAGTCCCTGGCTGGTTGGAATAAGCTTGATTGTTTCTCTGGTGCGTCCGTCTTGCGCCTCTTCACCGACTCTGGAAGGGGTTGGTCAGGATCTGGTCGTGGAGGTGCCAGACTAGCAACCTGTTCCGTCAGAAGGTCTTTCGACCACAACTGATGCTCATGCGTGCGAAGCACAATGGCCAGTTGACGTAGAGCGTGACAACTGTGAGTGGCAGCCTTGTCGATGCCGCACGCCAGGCACGCACGCGTGTCATTGATCTGCAGGACAATCTGTGAGGTCTTGGATTTTGAGGCCTCCCACATGGATTGATGACATCGCGCAAGGTGGGAGAATGTCTTTCCCTGTTTGGAAAGCCCGAGCACATATCACACAGTGTTGGCGGATCCATCCAGTGAGGTCCGGACGTTCAAACAAGGCATTCCATGCATGAGTGCCAACATACTGCTGTCTTCATCATCACAAGGAGGTACCTGCAGAGCACGATCTGCATTGAACATGGTGCAACTATTAATGTGGTGAATGAATCCAGTCCATAGTGTGAACTTCCCAGTACAGTGACAGCATTGGGGTCGTCCATGTAGAGCATCCCTCAAATTGACGAACCTTTGAAACAT